ATTCCCCCCCCCCCCCCCCCCCAAAGTGCATGAGGAAGAGACAAAGAGGAGCCAGAGTCTCACCCTATATCCACTTTAGTGGTCTTGTATTTCATTCTATGTTCTTAGAGTATTAGTGCTGTACTCTGCTGCTACAGGTAGAAACTCTATATTGGGACTCTCTGGTCCAGCAACATCCATGAACTATCACAGATGTTGCAGGACCAGAGAGTCCCGGTGGAGTGCCAGCAGCAGAGACTCCTGTAGGGACAGCAGGGCAGCAGGCTGCCCACAAGCAAGCTGATGGCGGGTCCCAGAGGCCCAGCAGCAATGTTCCCTCTAATATCTTCCCATCCATGTGCGGAATAAATTTTTCTATGTACACCACCAACAAACAAAAACCTAACAGTGGGTACTCTGCTAATGTGCTAGATGGCATCTGAATCTCTCCTGAGTAGCCGCACAAGTTCTCAGCTTACAGGGAACACTGGCCAGCAGCGGTGGCTGCTCAGTGGGGTTGGCAGGGTAGCGGGGCCAACAGGAGGTGGGGAGCTAGGACAGAGGCCAGAAATAACTTCTCATGGTGGCTGCTCAGTGGGGTTGGCAGGGTAGCGGGGCCAACAGGAGGTGGGGAGCTAGGACGGGGGCCAGAAATAACTTCTCATGGTATGTCAGAATCCCTCATCCAGGAGGAGTCAGCTCCCGAGGGTGTTGGACGAGGGAGGTCCAACCTGTACCAGCCTTTCTTTGACTGCACTGTTGATGCGGCAGAGAAGCAATATCCACAGCTCTCAGTCTGGATCAAGTCTTTTTTATTTAAATGCATTTGTTTTTAAAATTACTTCTATTTAAAAATGTTGGTCTTAACAGAGGTTGTCAAATTTACTATAATCTATTAAAATTACTTAAGCATTCAAGCAGAACATATTTGGGACTGCTGAGATTTTAAAGAAAGCCAGTCCACTGAACTGCTGGAAGTCTCTTGCTAAGCACCTGAAGTGATTTAAATGCTAAACCCGCTTTTGACAGAAGTAGCCTCTTCTTCAGATGCAGAGAGAAAGTTTTCTTCTTTTCAGTTTATTCCACTAGTTCAATTCAATGATTTAGTTCAAGGTTAAACTGACCAGGGCACGAACACAAGCTTCTTGGCACCCTCTCTCTCCTTCAAAGTAAATTATAAACAAGGTTACAGCAGCAAAATAAACTTAACTTGTGCGGCCACTTGAGCCTACTAATGCCACTTTCACCCATCTCTCCAGAGCAGATCTTACCTGTTAATAGGCAGCAGCTACACAAACTCAAATAAGATGTGAAAAATGACAGAGGGCTATCACAGAGTAGTGTCTTCAGACAGAGCTTACTACCTCTGAGGATTGAGCTTTCTTGATAGAAATGACTTTATCAGCAATAGACTTAATTAAAAACATTAAAAATGCTAACAAATAGACTATTTAGCAAAAGCTATGGCTAACCATTTCCCACATCGTGCTAACAGCTACCTACTCCAAGTAAGAGATCAAAATTAAAGGGCACATTTCCAAAAGACTTCCCACAGGGCCTCTAAACCTGTGTCCACATATTTTACATGTACCAAAACAGTATTTGTATGCAAGTATGCATCCAGTTACTTGACTTGAGCAAGTTTCAGAGCTGCTTTTGAAAACTGGGTCATAAATATCTTATGAAAAGGTAATGCTCACCTGCTGCTTTTGTGTGACAAGAAATTGCTTCTTCGTATTTTCCTGCTGCCAATAGCCGGTCTGCTTTTCTACTCTGCTGATGAGCCTGAAAAGAAACAAAGTGTTATTTTAAATCAAAGCTCAGGCTAGGAATGACTGGAACAGGTTTTTATAGTAACTTTACCCCAAACAGATAATCAGGTGCTCACATTTCAAGCTCTCTCCCATTCCAGCCTGAGAAACACAAAGAAATCATTTCCTAAGATGCTTACCCACTATATAATTTTTTGAACACAAACGTACTGTGCAAGTATGACAGCAGGTTTAAGGCACAACAGACTTTTGAAAGAAGCCTGCAGTCTAGACATAGCCCATGAGTGTATACCATCCATTTTATAAAGTGGAAACTACTGAGAGTCTTCATCCAACTAACCTTTGCACGTTTGCAGTGGCAAGCAAGTGAACTGTAGGGCAGTGAAGGACCAGTGCTAAAACAGCATTGCTGGTGTAAGGAGCTAGTCACCACAGGCTAGATACCATGAGCTACTGGAAACAATCCTTGAGAACTGCCCTCATTCACTCCTACTACCCCATGAGTGTATACCATCCATTTTATAAAGTGGAAACTACTGAGAGTCTTCATCCAACTAACCTTTGCACGTTTGCAGTGGCAAGCAAGTGAACTGTAGGGCAGTGAAGGACCAGTGCTAAAACAGCATTGCTGGTGTAAGGAGCTAGTCACCACAGGCTAGATACCATGAGCTACTGGAAACAATCCTTGAGAACTGCCCTCATTCACTCCTACTACGTGGAGATGTGTGCCCTAATGTGAAAGTGTAGCATCTCCTAAGTAGTACTGTGTGACATCAGCCACACACACACACACACGTCTCTTGTGGGACCTGATAGGAGCTATATTCTGTTTTATTCTATCAGCTTTTAATTTCTCTCATGATCCTGAAGAGCTCCTTGCATTCAAAGCTGACAAAAGAGGAGAAGAAGGATCATTTGATGCTTTACATAAAAGCCTTCAACTTGGTCAAAACTTTACAAAATTCAAAATAAGCACCCATACTTTAACTGAAGTAAGCTACCAGGGTTCAGCTTGTACAGACCCACTTCTCTCAGCTTTGAAACCCACAGCGGGCAGGCAAGAATAGCTTACTCCTACACAAGGCAGGGCTTGGATATAATGTAAACCTTTAAAGAGCTATAATAGTAATGTGATGCCATTCACCTGTAATGGTTTTAAAACAAAAACCAAAAAGAGAGGGCAATTTAGAATTTGCATCACCTGAAGTCTCTTCTGGAAACTTTGTTTTCTAGGTGGTGAATTATCTGTACATAACAAACATAAGAATGGCCGTACTGGGTCAGACCAAAGGTCCATCTAGCCCAGTATCCTGTCTACCGACAGTGGCCAGCACCAGGTGCCCCAGAGAGGGTGGACCGAAGACAATGATCAAGTGATTTGTCTCCTGCCATCCCTCTCCAGCCTCTGACAGACAGAGGCCAAGGACACCATTTTATCCCCTGGCTAATAGCCTTTTATGGACCTAACCTCCATGAAATTATCTAGCTTCTCTTTAAACTCTATTATAGTCCTAGCCTTCACAGCATCTTCTGGCAAGGAGTTCCACAGGTCCCTGATCCAAAGAGCTTACAGTTGAAACACATGAGAAAAGACACATCAGTGTGTGTGGAGTACCTGGACAATGTACTAGGCACGCTTGAAAACGTAAGTATACACCTAAAAAATGAATGACCTCTAAACAACAACTCTCTCTGTGTCCTGAAGGCTGATTGTAAATGCATAGGGAGAATAATACTCTCCTGTCAGGGGACTTATCTTGCTGGTTGACTGCATTTGTTGAGCAACGCAGGCACTGGTGAGGAGATGAAAACCTGTCATTAGCAAGCAGTCCCATTACTCTGAGGGGAGAGCACTGCTTAAAGGATTGGAGGAGGGTCCTGAAAAATTAATAGTCATGAAGAAGATATTGGCAAGGTATGTGGGGAGGGCAGTTCTCACATCACTAAAAGAAATGAATAATTGATGTAGAGGCACTTGCTAAATGTAGGACTGGAAAAGAAGACACTCTGGAGATTAGTTACTCAGAGAAGTCTCCCCTGTTCCTTAATCCTTGCCTCCCCTCATGGATCAGTGGCGATGGATGGATGTGAGGGGAGGGACAAGGCAAAGAAATGAAAAGCCAATGAAGTTACTTAGCAGGACCCAAAGCCACCCTGTTGGGAACAGAAGGTAGTAGGGAAGTGGGAGAAATTCTCTCTCCTTTTCTCTCTTTCTCCACATCCTGCCTTTTATTCTACTTTGCACCCTCCCTCTGTGCCTCAGGGACAGCATGGGCCTGGTCCAAAGGCCACTAGTTAGCCGGGGTTAGCTTTACAGAGGGATTTAGTTGGCTTACTACCACTTTCATAGCCTAAACCCAAAATGTAGATTCTCAAAACCTCTGTTCAATGGCCTCCTAACCCTGTAGGCACCTGAATCCCCTAGGTGACTCCATTTCTGCCATGGGGTATGGGCAAAGCTGCCTATGGCCTAACGACCAGGAGATGCATGGCACCTCAAATCACCTTAGAGCCCTGCTGGGATCCTTAAACTAGCGTACGTCTAGACTACATGGCTCTGTCGATGGAGCCATGTAGACTAGATTATGAGACATAGGAAAATGAAGCAGCGATTTAAATAATCGCCACTTCATTTACATCAAAATGGCTGCCGTGCTGTGTGGATCAGCTATTTGGCGGCACAGCGTGGAATCCCTTGTCGACTGCCCTGTTATGTCTTGTGGAATAGTCCTCATTAGACAACGTGGCAGCCATTTTGATGTAAATGAAGTGGCGATTATTTAAATCGCTGCTTCATTTTCCTATGTCTCATAATCTAGTCTACATGGCTCCATCGACAGAGCCATGTAGTCTAGACGTACGCTAGTTTAAGGATCCCAGCACCACAAAGGACGGTGCAGATTTGGGAATCTCCCCAACGTCCTCAGCCCTGAAGACTGAAGCAAAGAAATCATTTAGTTTCTCTGCAATGGCTTTATCGTCCTTGATTGCTCCTTTTATAGCTTGATCATCTAGGGGACCCACAGGTTTTTTAGCAGGCTTCCTGCTTCTAATGTACTTAAACATTTTGTTATTTCTTTTTGAGTTTTTGGCTAGCTGTTCCTCAAAATCTTTTTTCGCTTTTCTGATTACATTTTTACATTTGATTTGACAGTGTTTATGTTCTCTTCTATTTATCTCACTAGGATTGGACTTCCACTTCTTAAGAAGGGACCTTTTTGTCCCTCACTGCTTTTTACATGGTGGTTAAGCCACGGTGACTCTTTTTGTTGATAATCTGTATTATTGATTTTCCTTATAATTTTTTTCCCTAGCCACCTTTCTGGAGACTGGCTCATTGGTAGGGTTGCATGTCTCTAAACTGGCCATTTAGTTACAAACTGCTAAATCTGCTGGGTATTTAAAAAAAAAAAAAAAAAAAAAAAATCAGCTTTCCTCAATAGGCAGGGGAGAGAAAATAGTTTAAAACTAGCCCCCATCATTGTGTCACCCTGCTGCTGCCCCACAGACTCTGCATAAAATTTGCCTCCGGACTGAAGCTTTGGCTATGCTGAGTGTATCTGTACATGACACCTACACTAACTGCCTTAATTATAGTGGAGCCCAAGAGTGGCATTCAGGACCCTAAATTCAGCTTTTGAATTAAGAAACTATACTCGGTTCAGTTTCATTGCTGTTCCCAGGGTTCAGTTTCACAGCTGTTATTCACTTTTGAATTAAGAAACTATACTCGGTTCAGTTTCATTGCTGTCCCCAGGGTTCTGAATAACAGCTGTGAAACTGAAGAACTTTTTCTTTGCTGTTGCTAGTTGGCAAAGCTACTATCTGCAGCGGAGACAGGGACTACTTTTAGTTAGAACTACTTTTAGTTTGCTAGTTGGCAAAGCTACTATCTGCAGCGGAGACAGGGACTTCTTTTAGTTATGTGAGAAGACAACTCAAAACGGGAGAACAGGAAGAAGCAGAGCCATTCCATCATGAACATACCCCATTTCTGCAGCCAGGAGACACTTGATGGGAAAAAAGGAGACAAATCCCTTTCTCCTTTCCACAAGCTAAGTTTGAGATGTTTACTATGCAGCAGCTGATTCAAGAGATAAATCCCCTGAGAAGAACAAAAGTCTTGCAGAGAAAAAAAGTTGTAACATCTCTCACCAACATGTTGCTCCTGAAATCTTGTTTTCCTTACTTCTATTCCTTCCCCAACCAACAAAAAAGGAAAATCTTATTTGCCTTTGGCGGCTAGGCAATTGATAAATATTATGAGGCTTGACTTCATATTTAAAGGGATAAAACCAAGAGTTAGTTTCACACTGTTTGTACTAACATCAACTTGTTACATCTACAAGTTTCTAAAGTAAAGTGATTTTTGTTGTGTAAAAACTGGATGGTGAATACAACCCTTACTCTATTAAGTCCATTTTGGAGTCAGAATCAGAGCCACTGTCTCAGAATAAATGTGAATATGGTAACAGAATAAAAGTCATTTTAATGAAGCAGAGCATGATTTATGAGATTGTTTCAAGAGACATGGGGATTTTTGTTTCAGGGCCCTATCAATGATGTCAGTTCACATGACACATTTGTGTTCATAGAATAGTTTTCATCATTCAGTACTGAGCCATGTAAAGTGTGATTAAGGGCTCAGATTAGACCCCTGGATCTTTAAACAATGTTGACAAACTTAGGGTTTGTCTATATGGTGATTTAGTGCCATCTGCTCAGAATGGCATGCTTAGCAAATAGCAGCAAGGTCCACACAGTCTCATTGTGCTGCAGATGTACATCCCAGCTTGCACCATGCATTAAATTGCTCTATGGACAAAACCTTAGCACTGTCAATTTCCCACATCTTTGACATGTTCAGACAAACCTGGGGAGGAGCACAGCAAGGAGATTTGTTTTTATTGCCAATATTCCAATTGAAAGTAAAGATATTAAGAGTCCAGTACTTGACTAATCATGTTGCTGATAGTTTGTATCAACTACACGATACAAGGTGTTCAGACAAACCTGGGGAGGAGCACAGCAAGGAGATTTGTTTTTATTGCCAATATTCCAATTGAAAGTAAAGATATTAAGAGTCCAGTACTTGACTAATCATGTTGTTGATAGTTTGTATCAACTACACGATCAGTCGATAAGGGAAAGTGCTCTGTACCGGCTCATGCCAGTCCAGGAGCTACCTCTGCTATAGCTCTATAGTTTAAATGTAGTAAGAGCTAGACACGCAGGAAGGTCCCCGACCGGCATGAGCTGGGACAGAGCCAGGTTTGCGCTGGGTCCAGCAGCCCCTGCATATGGCCAGCCCGGGCTGACGTGAATGGGGGGGAAAAAGGAGAAGAGCAACAAGAGGGAGGGAGCTGAAACGAGTGGTCGACTATTCACTCACATCCCTAAATGAAAAATAATATTTTATTACCTCTTTCCAGACTCTCACACAAGGTTATACCAAGGAAAAGAGCTTACTCTGACAAACCGAGGAATGTATTCACAAGTATGTTAAACCATAGAGCAGTGTTTGCTTCATAAGCAGCGATTTTCTATGTTTCTCCTCTTTGGTTTGTGCATACTGTAACTTCATTTACTAAAATGCTTAATTCACAAGCCATCACAATACAAAAGCATGTGAAAAGCCTTCTTAAAAAGTGTAGCTTGTCAGATGTTGGTTAACATGGAGTTGGAGTCTAAGCTCGGAGTCCTCTAATCACTTATTTGCTTAAGTCAAAGCAGAGCTGAAGAGGACAATAGGTTGAACTAAGAAAGCTGTAACTTAAGCATATTAAAAGGTATTAAAAAAGAGGAACCCAGAACTACAAGGATAACACCTTTACGCAATAGATAGTTAAGTGTATACTAACATTAGGATATTCTGTCACGACTACAGGCAGTCCCTGACTTACGCGGATCTGACTTATGTTGGATCCGCACTTACGAACGGGGCTTTCTCGCCCCGGAGGTAGAGGTGGCGGATTGCTGCCTGCGAGCTCCGGGGCCAGAAAG